CCGCTCTTTGCCTCAGCCAGGTGGGTTAGGGATGTCCTGGGGAAAAGGAAATTTCCAAATCCTATCTACACAGCTACAGGCTCCAAATTGTTAGTGGAAGCTTTGGGATGGTGGTTGTTGACCTGCCACCTTCCTGCCCGTCCTGCTTGTCCCTCGGGTCTCCACCCGAACGCAGGGCACATCAGCTGCCTGTAGGTCCTGTGTTTTCATGGGCAAGGTTATTGAACAAGGTAAGCTGGAATTGGTGGTGGTTTAAGTCGTCTTAAGGCTGTAGGCTGCAGCAAGCTCAGCAGCTGCTACACGTGCAGCCAGGAGCAGGAACTACCACCTACCTGTCCCAAAGCATCCATCGCTAGTGCCTGGAGGTGAGGAAGTTTAAATGTATCTAAGGACAAAGCACGTTAGAACAGGATTTTCCCTTTTCCTGCATAGACAGACGCCTCCAAGACCAAAACCTGATCTGATTTTGCCTTAGACTGACTCTCCCAAGGGCTGGGGGGTCACCAATGTGCCTAGTCAATGCCTCCTGCTCCTGATCCAGGTTTTGGTTGCTGTGGCTACAACTTGCATCGCTGTCTGCAGTGGCACTGATTTATCTAGACCAGTTTTTGAAGATGTTTTTTCTGGTTTCCAGCAAGGCAAGCAAGAAGGGAAAAAAGGAAAAAAAAAAAAAGAGTAGACTCGGGCCCTGTGTTTTAATCTTGCGCCCTGTTCCTGGTGGTCCCTGTCTGCACTGCCGAGGGGAACTGTCTTCTCTGCAGAGCCTTGGCGTGGAGCTGCCACCATGCAGGTTGCAGAGGGAAGTTAGAGCCCGGGAAGGAACAACAGAGAAACAGGTAGCACAAAGAGAGGGATAGAGGTTAATTTACCTGTTTGCGGTGCATTAACCGCCTCAGGCTGGCAAAGCGGTGAAAACAGCGCAGCATGGCTTCCCAAGGACAGGGGAGCAGGAAGAGGACAGAAGAGAGGCAGTTAGACAACGAACACCGAGCGGAGGGTGCACGAGGACGGGGCTGCGCCGGAGCCAGGCACGCTCGAAGGAGCGATGGGAGCCCGGGAGCTCAGAACCCAGAGACCCCGGCTTCTCTCCTGGCTCTGCCAGAGGTCTTCTGCATGACCCTGGGCAAACCGTT